ATGCACCTCAAATATTTTCCTGACTTTTTGAACCAACTTAATGATATAATAGCAAAAGTAAATAATCCCAAACCTTTATTTAATAAAATTTATTAGAAGTCAAACATTTTCTTTCCAAACTCAAACCGAATTTATTCAGTGAATTAAATTCCTTTCCAGATTTTATCTTCTCTCCATTTCAAACCTATCGTCATTAGAAAATAAGAATTACGTTAAAAAAGACATAAATGAAGTTCCTAACTTCATCATTGCGCATATCTACGCTACTGAAACCAAATTTTCGAGTGTTTAATTCACAATGTATGACAAAAAGGTGCAAACTTTACAGGATCATATATTCATCTTTGTCAATGACCTTCTTCAGCCTACATATCTTCCACCTTTACGCTTTTCGTCAAGTGATTTATTTACTCTATCTTATACCATACACATCTAAGGCATCGTTACCTACTTACCCCTATATTTTTGGATCAATGACATATAAACCACATGGTCAAAAACATTGACAAAAATGGAACTTGGTGACAGGGACCTAGCAATTCCTTAACTTTCTCAAGTCTAGATACGGGAAAAAAATAGGCCAAGTGAAAAGCTACAATGAAGAAGAGACCAAAATGAGCCTTACAAACATTTATGAGCACTTGCCATTATGGTAATGTAACTAATGTTAGCCAATTATAAAAGCATATTTATGGCCTGCTATCTGTATGACATGTTCGGAGGTCTATTAAAAAATATGTACTAAAGGATAGTCAAAGGGGAGTTCAATGGAAAAGCAAAACAATTAGAAAATCAACACAAGTAGAAATGAGGCAAAGAAACAAGGAAGAAGCAGACATAAGCTCTCTATGCCGTCCATCAGGGAGAAGGGATCTGGCATATCACAAATTATTGGCTTAAAAGTGTTGAAGTAATTTTCAGAAAAGCTTTTTCAAAAATTGAATTTACCCACCCATGTGCAAATTGTAATTAATATTGTTAGTGGTTTTTTTGTAATAAAATCTTACAGTTAAGGGGGGGGGGGCTCATATCTCCTAAACTTAAGGATGGCTTTATGATATTTTGATATTTATTCTGGATCACCTCATAATCATCGAAAGTTTGTGTGGGTGGGTGGGTGGTTCTGAAATTTGGCCTAAATTCAACTTTTCCCCCTCTATATGGTGTGTGAAAGCCATTTTGCTTCATTTATTTTTCATGATACTAGATCTATACATGGATAGCAAAGGTCATTTGAATTGTAGACTCATATGGCGATGTTGTTGGGCCTACATTCACTGAACGCATAGAAAGTCATATCAAACACCAATTATCTGCATCTGATGCACCTAGTATTTATACTTTCATGATTCTTCACCATCCTTGTCAACTCCAACACCAACAGAAAACTTTCCTCTACAACTTGGCAAATCTAAATCTAAAATAAATAACCAAGACATTGTTGTTATTGATGATATAGGCAAGTAATATTTATATTATCTAACATTGAGCATGATATATCCTAATCTTAAGTGTCACCACATCAACATGATAGCACAAACCCACTAAATAAGCCTTATATTGGTCAAGCTACAACTTCTAGACTGATTACTTCTATACAAAATGGTATTATTGAACCAAACTCAAAATATGTCAACTTGGAGATATCTTCATTCTCTAAAGACTCAAGTATCTAGACAGATGGACAGACTATACTGGCCTTTCACATTCTGGTCGATGAGCCAGTATGTAGAACTTTATGCTTTGTGTTATAATCATTCAATAAGAGTAGAAAAGTGTCGTAGTAATTTAAAATAACTGATCTAACTGTGAAATGGAAAGATTGAGATTAAACTTACTTTCTAATCTCGCTCCAGCTGCCCTATGTTTACTGAAACTCTCATCGCTTGAAACTGCAGGAAATTGAGAATTAGGGAAAAATTTCTAAATGTACATGAAAAATCCTAAACAAAGTATGATGAAGCAAATAAATTAAAGAGAGCTGGGGGGGGGGGGTATAAAGTAAATAAATAAGTATATATATTATACCAACCAAATAAATAATTAATTGAAAAGAAGCTCTTAACAATCATGAGCAAACAATCTAATATCATCAACTAAATATCCAAAAGGAGCTAAAGAAAAAGTTCTTAAGGGGTTGTTTGTTTCAAGTAAAATTTGTTAGAATAATTTCCATAATTCTAAGAAGATAAATACCTGAAAGATCAGCTGTAATATCTCTTGCGCATGGATCTCCGTAAATAAATTCTTCTCTCTTACAAAAAGAAAAAAAATCAAAAAATAAGGAAAAGGAAAATATGAAGATAGATAAGATAAATATCAGAGATAATATCAACCTCAGATAACTGTCTCTTTCCCATGGATATCTTCTAATTCTTCTCGTTTTCAAGAAAAATAATCAAAAAAATGATTAAAAAGAAAAAAAATAAGCTGGATAACAAAAAATCACATCAACTGAATATTTACAATCTTCGCAGAACAAAACTTTTCAAAGATAGCAAGCCTCCATCGCCAAAAACTCTAGAATCCATGGAAAAGTCGCAGAGGAGTTCCATCTACCGATCACTTCGAGTTATAGGTCAAGTCGCAGAGGAGTTCCATCTACCGATCACTTCGAGTTATAGGTCAACGGGTTCGCCTATCGTCGATCTATAACTTCTCTTGAAGTTTTCATTTTTCTACGATTTCGGTTTATTTGTTCGGTTTATTTCTTTAGTATAACTTGGTTGTAAAAGTGTTTCTTTTAAATCTCAACTTGTTATTTCTTTAGTATAACTTGGTTGTAAAAGTGTTTCTTTTAAATCTCAACTTGATGATGTTATATTATCTGTGAACTTTCTTAATATTTACATTTTAAATCTCAACTTGATGATGTTATATTATCTGTGAACTTTCTTAATATTTACATTTATGTACCTTCGGCTTTCATTTTATGTGTCGTTGTGACCATAAGCAATGTAAGCAACGAATTATTGGGAAATTTTACTCGCTTATAAACCATGAGCAATGTAAACTACACATTATTCAAAAAGATTATTCACTTATATAGCAATCAATTTCTTCAATGCCTCAAATTTAATAATAACAGATGACATAAAATTCTTACGAATTAAAAAAGGAAAGGAAAAACAATCATCTGTTTTAATCCCTAATGACTGTAAAATAAAAAAATCTATCTTCATTTAAGAAAACCTCTCCATAAGTTTGCAAAGATAACCACATTAAACTATTAGGTTGCTCAATTCTTATTATTTTAAAATTAATTCATCAAATCATTGAAATAGCTATTATAACCGCAATTCTTAAGTTATTTTCATTTCAGCTTCTCCAATCAAGAGTTAAAAAAAGCAATTAGAGGAAAATTAGTCCCTCAATTTGCAAATTATACCATTAATTTGAATGACTAATTTCAAATAACTTAAGAATTGAGTTACCTAATAATAATTTCAATGCTTTAACTTTGGTTTTTTGTAGTTTTAACTTTGGTTTCTCCGTTAAAAAAAAGTTTTAAGATAGTTTTGTGCAAAAACCCCAAAGTTCATGGTGGTTTTGTGAAGTTTTCCCCTAATAAAATTATGCCAGGTCATAATGCATGATATCCTCCTCAACAAATCATACCCAAACATGAAATATCAGGCAAATCAAATGATTGACGCCCTGTTTCATTCTCGAAGAACGAAACATGTGTCCTTAACAAATCATATCCAAACATGAATTATTCAGAGATTAATATCCGTGATATTTGAACATATTTGGAACGTAGTGCGCTTGTTTGATCAAGCATAAGCATGTGATTTTCCAAGGCCTAACAAGGTTTAGAGTGAATACGATGAAGAAGGCAAAAAGTTAAAGGGGGTTGCTTCAGCTATTAACAACATTACAAAATGCATTATGTACATTATGTAAGATTGAATATTCACACAAAGTTCAAGGGGATTGATTTTGCTTTTGAGAACATGGAACAGTGTAGCTTATTGAAGCATTATTAACTGAGGACTCTGTTTTCATTTATTGAGAAAGGATGAGTAATAATTAAGCAACCACAAGTAACAAAACATTATTCTAGATTTAGAAAAGTGTGTCATTGTACGTGCACATTACCAAAGAGAAATAAATTAATAAGCACTAAATTATATTAACTTTATGAAATATTATTTGTAGAAAATAATGGGCAACAATAAGGCACCTTAAACTTATGCAACTTGAGGATTTAATATAGAAGGATAGAAGACTCACTTTAAGTATGGAAGAGTCATGTTATTCAGTAATGATAGATTTTTATCTACAAATTCCTTCCATTCGTCCAGATCTATCTTTCCATCACCCTTCTTATCTGCCTCCATGAAAGTCTGTAAAAGAAAAGAAATAATTGAAATCCTCGAAAAACCAATTGTATATGTCACTATGTTGCGGCAATAAAATGCGAACAGAAAAGACAAATCCTCACCTTATCGACTATTTGATCAACAACATCATCAGAAAGGCATAAATCTGATTCACTGAAAAGAACCAGCACCATCTCTTTTAACTGTTGAGAGCAATAAAGAATACAAGGTTACTTTCATAGAATGACTTCCTACAAAATAGAAGAAGATCACAAAGTAGCCAATTAAGATTCTACCTCGACACGTTCAATATAGCCAGTGCGCCTTAAGTCATTCAGTCTAAATGCAACTGCAACAAAGTTTTCATTTTCTCTTGAAGTTTTAATACGAAGTTTTCGTTTTGTTTTTTTATTTTAATACGAAGGAAACCTTCGCAATGTCTCCACACCGAAGCTGGAGTTCGATCTCCAACCCTTATTATCAAGTAAAACCCAGTCGTAGACGGTTACATCTCTAGGCATTTTTTCAATCCAATTTCAGCTAATACCCTTAGGTATGATTACAAAATCTGAAATTGTAATTGTCATTATCTCACAAGAGCAAGTTCTAAAAACTATCAAAGCTCGGAATTGCACACTAATTCAAATAAAAACTCCAAATTGAAACTCATATAAATCAATCAAATTCAAAACCCAATCGCAAAGTATCAGCTTTAAAACAAAACTAAAAAAATAAAAAAAACAAAACCCAGTAACCATCAACGATCACATCGGAAACCCTATCTTCGAAACTGAGAACAACATCAAACGGGCCATCAGCAGCATTATCCTGCCAGTGCTGAGGCGCTAGCTTCACACTCATATTCCTCTTCAACATCGGCAAGATCCCATTACGCTTGTACCTAAATTCACACTCATATTCCTCTTCAACATCGGCAAGATCCCATTACGCTTGTACCTAAAAACTCCACAAAAGTCCCAACTTTACAATGGTAAAAATACCTAAAAACTCCACAAAAGTCCCAACTTTACAATGGTAAAAATAGTAAATACGAAAAAATGTAGGGGCCAAAATCGGCTTTCCACTCACAATTCAGGGTTCTTGCGGAGGAGGTCATTGTACATTTTGTGATAAGGAGTTCCGAATTCGTAGACGTTGGGCACTCGGTACGATGGACCGGCGAGCTTAACGTGTACCCCAGTGCCGTTGGAGGAGACGTCGAAGCCATGGCGCTGGAGGAGGGAGTGGGCTTCCATGCTTCGATTCTGGTTCGAGGTGCAGACCATTGCGTGTCGGAGCTTTGGAGATTTATGCTTCATTTTTTGTTTGATTTCGTTGGGTTTTCTTTTGTTTTCTAGGGTTTTTTGATGAATTTGGGGGAGTGGGGTTTTGAGGAGACGGGAGACTACCAGATTTTAGGGGCGATTTAATTTGGGATTTGAGTTTTTTGGGATTTGGTGGGAGATCAGAGGAAACCCTGGAGGAGAGAAAGACGAGAGGTCGTAGGGAACTCCCGGGTTCGGCTGTCGTCGATCTACAACTTCTCTTAAAGTTTTCATTTTTCTCCGATTTCTTCTGCTTTTTTTCTTTTTCCGCCATTAGGTTTTTTTTTGCTGGAGAGGGTGTTGAAGATTTTTGAAGGAGATGAATGAATAGAGACGATAGATACGGTAGCAGATTGTTTAGGGCTTTTGATTTTTGTTTTGGAGTAACGTAAGCAAATACTAAAAAATAATAATTCTATTAAATTTATGATAGATGAAGGGTATTTTGGGGTAGGAAAAGTTTTTCTCATACTCCCTCTTTTAAAGGGAGAATGATTGAATGATATAGAATATTCTAGAAGCAAAAAGAAAAGAAAAGATAAAAGACCACTTATTGTAAAATGACATTTTATCCCTTTTAGTTACAATTGGAGAGGAGGACTTATCGGCCACTCTCCCATCTTTGCACTACCCTTCGTTTTTTTTTGTACAGTTGTATAGATACCAGCGCATTGGCACATGCGATGCACGTGTGAAAATATTCATTTGTATGATTAGCCTTAAATTTATATTTAATAATTTTTTGATGATTTAATTTATGCAACTTTATTATGGAGCTCTACATAGAAAATATATCTTTAACTAATATATATCAATTAAATCTATCCTTAACACAATTTTTTTGAATAGCTTTCTAATTGAGGATAATATAATTAGAGTAAGTAATTAAAATAAATAATAATAAATGGGGATATTTCAATTTAATCATGTGTGCATTATCATTTCACGATTTAGAATGTTCTGGAAATAAAAAAGAAAAAAAGAAAAGAAAAGAAAGTAAATAAATATTGTAATGCCTGAAATTTTTTCTTGTGATAAGTAGGCACATGTGATATTACCAATTAGAAAATCAATTTTTTTTTCTCAAGGCGCAATAGTGTTTTAGCTCTAACCTGATCGGCCTACATCCACTACAACAAATCGGGTATTTAATGACCAAAATTAGTGAAGGGACCAGTTAACCGTCATTAATGTGTGTAAAATAATGACGGTTTTAAAGCCCTTCATAGAGTTATCACAATTATTAGAGAAATCATGTGAGATGAGATAACGGTTTTCTAATCCCTTTGTTGATTTGATTCTAATACCGTCGTTATTGGGTCTCCTGAAAGACGAAGGAATATTTTATCTTCATTAATAGGTCCCTTAATCATAATAGGAGTATTTAACCAAAATAGTATAAAGAATCCAAACCCAAACCCAAACCTCTCTCTGTGATTCGTCTCTCCGAGCTTTGATTCCTCTCTCTGCCACCGTCGCCGCTCTCTTCTTCCGACACTCTCCCTCCTCAATCTCCAGAACTAGGATTAGGGCGAGGGTTAGATCGATGGAGAGCGAGGCGGTGGTGCCGGCGGTCATCGTCGGCGGCGGGAGAGTCGGCTGAGCGCTACAGAGCATGGGAAACGATCGTAATGTGCTCGTGGGGAGGGGGCAGTCGGTTCCCTCCGATTTCGAGGGTTAGGGCGAGGGTTTTAACTCAGAATGATGATCTTGAGGTGGTGCTTGAGTCCACTCTTGCTTCTCGATGGAACGGTAATTGCCCTAGTTTATTTTGTTTTGTTTTGTTTTGCTTAAAAGCTTAGATTTTTGTTTGCCTTGAGGTAAAAAGATTTGATTTTGTTGAGTTTTTTGGTAGAAATTGTGATGTTCTGGTGTTAATTGTAGCAATGCCCTAGCCCGTGTTCTAGCCTCTTCAAGAAAAATGTAGCCTTGCTTTTATTACCGACCTCCATTGTATTAAATGTTTTTATAGCCTTCGTGCTATTTGAACGAGGATTGTAATTTTAATTAAACCTATCATTTATAATATTATAAATAACATCCAAGAGAGAGAACTAAGTATCTTCTCTAATTATTTATTAAAATAAACTTTGTATCAGGCTTCACTGCTTTCTTTCCCCATTTGCATGCTAAGACTCACATTAGTTATCAGATTAGTGATCTATCTGGTCAAGACCTATGATGCATTGTTGTCCATGATCTATATGATAAAGACATGGCATGTTATTATGCCTTTCTGAGTGATATTATGATGCATTGTTGTCCATGATCTATATGATAAAGACATGGCATGTTATTATGCCTTTCTGAGTGATATATGTACACTTGTTGCATATCTAAGCAGTAGATAAAGACATGGCATGTTATTATGCCTTTCTGAGTGATATATGTACACTTGTTGCATATCTAAGCAGTTATGGCAAACTTCACTCAATATAAAATGTTGGCATAGTTATTTACTACTGATGTTTTCACCATTTTCCTTTTTTGGTTTTGGGCTGTCATGAGAACCATGGATGGTATCATTGATACAGTGTTGGCTGTCTTTACTTTGTTAAACTTTCTATAGAAATCGTCTTTTATTTGAAATGCAGCCTAACCTTACCCATTATGTGTCGATTTTTCAAATGGGGAAGTACATTATTCTCCCTTTTAATGATGAATTACTAATGACTAATGAAGTTTATAAACTGAGTGCCGTCTTCTAAGATGTATTATCAAAGTGATATTTTTAAGATATCCTCTGTTAGAAGCAAACACAGATCCTTAACTCCATGGTACATGAGATTTCAAACCCTCTACACCTCATATATGGATTACATTTAGCTGGGAGATAATCTGAGGAACAAAATGGACACTACTATGAGTTGAGTTTAGAATAAAAGCATTCTTCTCATTTTAATTTCTATCTAGGATTGGCTTGTTTATAGATTGAGCATCGACGGCGAAGAAAAACTTTTAAGTTTTAAGGGATAAGTGATTGGAATCTTCTTCTACTTGTCATTAGCTGACTCATGCTTTTATTATGACTATTACCATGCTAGTCTCTAGAAAGGAGCACCTGGAAGTTTTGATTCTATTAAAACATATATAGTGCACCTTGTTTCTGTTTGGATAGAGATTTTTCTAAGTTGTGCATCACTTATGCGACGAGATTGTATGAGGTTATGTTTACATTCTTTATGGATTATACTTATTCCAGGTCTTTAAGGACTTCCTACGTGGTAGATGTTTTAGATCAGCCAGCAACTGCCGTTTTGCTCACCACATGCCGATCGATCATTGTGCTATTTATGAAATTGTTCTACAGACTTCTTTTGAATTGCTTTTGTCATTTTCCTACCTTTTGGTGGATAAAATTGCATGTTTCTATAGTTTTGATTGAGAGTGGAGCGTGACAAATTTATTTATTTGGTTTTATCTTCAAGTAGGAGGCGTAATAGCCTTTGTGTCATGTTTTGGTAGTTGAAGTGTAGGGTACGCCACGAGAATAAGAACAATTTTTCTTTGGATTTAGGCATCGCTTGTGGCGGGCAGAGGAGTGAACAATCGATGACTTTCGGTGCCCCGCTGTAGGTTGATGGAGGGGCTGGTGGAGTAAGAAGGTGCAATGATCAAAGAAAAGAAATCAATTTTCAAGAGGAATCATGGTTCAATTCTTTCAGCATTCTAGAGGAGTCCAATTCTGATGATGAGTACAATAGTGTTCATGGAGGTATTATTTTATATCTTATTTTCAATCTTATGTATGTTATATTATTACTGAAGTCTTTCTTTGTGGTAGATTGTTTTCTAATATCAGTGCGCAATTCTTCCGCGTGCAATGCAAATGCAAACCAAATGCTTCAGTATGAGAATGCTTCATGCTTTGTGGATTCCATTACCATGTGCAAGTTTGAGGAGTTTTGTGGAGGTAAATAAAAATATGATAATATATTCAACAAAGATCATCAATTTATGAGCATCAAAGGTTATGAATTTCCTCATGGTACAGAAGGGTTTACGAGAAGGAAACGGGTTCTAGAATCATATCGTAGCTTTAAACATTTGAAAGATGAAAAGTCTCAAGAGAACAACTTAAAGGTGATTACTAGTTATTTAGATACGTCCATCAGCTTCAATGGTAATATGTTTACGATCCATCCAATGCAGAATATTACCACTGCATACTGTCAAGTGACAAAGTCTACAGTTGTTAGGCTCTCATACAAGAGGAGGTCATGTGAGATGGAAGGTGGTGATCAATTCTGTGAGTTCCATGTCTTTTGCTTGCAATTCATCCACATCTTTCTAACTCTTTTAACTTTTCTTCAAGAGAAAGGTTAATTTCATAAAATTTTACAAAATTCCTCTGAACTTCTGTGATAAGGAAATTTCTTCTACTTTCCAAGACTGTATCAGGGTAAATTTTGGCATGAAAAGTTAACTTACTTTTCAATTTGGAAAGACTTCCCTTGAGAAATTAACAATGTATACCTTTTCAGAGATTTATAGATGATGAAATAGAAACGATCAGAGGATACACAATGGACTTCGTTGTTCCTTTAAGGGAAAGGTTGAAGATTATGGCTGGTTTAGTTAATCCAGAGGAACTTGATTTGAATTCTGCTGAATCATTCAATCATACAATGAGAAGCCAGTGCTATCTCGCCCCCAACACAACTTTTACAAGGTAAGAAGTTTACTTCAACATGCACATATCTAATACAAAAATTAGCTTTAGCTATTATAGACAACATTCCTAACAGTGATGGCGTTTTGCAGGGTGAAAACTACATTGAAATTGACTTGGATATACATCGGTTCAGCTATATATCGAGAAAGGGTCTTGATTCATTTCATGAGCACTTGAAGAATTGTACTGTAGATTTGGGTTTGACAATCCATGTAATATGTTTATGCATGCACCTTCTACTTCTTACCATAGAAACATATCCGATTATTGTCTTTAGTTATCATCATTTTTATGAACAAAAATATATTGATTATATACG